CAAACTGTTAATGAATAAACTTCTATCCCCCAAGGGAAGTCAGACAATTCTTCTGGTAGCTAGCTAGCTACTACCACTACTACAAGTAATAGGGAGCATCTTATGTCTTGTCTTCCAAAGCTAACACTAGACTATAGAATATGTATTTCCTGCAAATACTTAGCCAAAAAAGGGAAGAAGACAAAGTGAAGACAGTCCCTTAACCAGACAATCAAACACTGTGCAGTATAGGTTGATCCAGCACTCGTTCCATTGTAGCCTAATATCTTTCAATACAATAAGAGGCTCCCAAAACGCAGCCAAATGATGGTGAATAATGATCGACTAACAATACTTTTATGATAAGAAACTAAACAACATATAAGTCTTCAAGACTCGCAAAGCAAATCCTGAAGAAATATCAGTAAGAGAATCTTACAGGTTAATTACATATGAACAACGCCAAATCACAGCATGTTTTTCCCTGGTTTTATGCAATCAGATATCGAATAAGTAGCGAAGGAAAGCTAGCTAATCGATTTCCTCACTAGCTTAACAAGAGGGAAACCACAACGACGAAAAAAAGAAAGAAAAGCAATCCCCTCAAGAGATAATCTTGTTGCCCTTGTCTTCCCGTGTGCCGGTGATAGCTATGCATATGCGAATGTCCTCCGTGAAACGGGTTTGAGAACCCGTGAGGGAAGCCACCAGAAGCAGCAGCTCCATACATGGCTGCATCAGGGAATCCGTGGAAATGGAGATTGAACAAAGAAGGAATCAGACCGCCAAACGCTGCAGACAATGTAACATTCCCAAACCGCGCACTCGCCATTGGAGCTGCAAAGCCTCCCATGAACCCTCCAAACCCTTGATGATGAGCAGCAAAACCATGGTTTGGGTCAGGAGGTTGTGCTGTTTCGGGTCTCTGTCCCGATGGACGGTTTGGCACTTGGAGTCCTGGAATGGACTTGGCTCTAGGGTCAGTAGATGATTTGCCTCGACCGTACAAAGGAACCAATCTATCTTCTTCGACGACGGCTTTGCAAACCGGGCATTCCTTTGATTGTGAATGGAGATGTAGCCATTTGTATAAGCAAGGCCAACAGAACAAGTGACCACAGAGAGTGACAATGGGATCTTGAGCCAAGTCTAAGCAAATGTTACATTCAAAGTTACTCGAGTCGTTGTTGTTTGTATTATTGCCGCTAGAACAAGAAGGGATATCAGACATGATTCACCCAAAAACCTCTGATTTTAAAACTCTCCTACATAAGCATTATCAAGCATTGAATTAAGTAAAACAAACACATAAAAAAAAATTGATTACTTTTATGGACAAAATATTGAAATTAATTTTGGTTCAAAATTCATAAGTGATTCCAAATTCGCCAATTTGTTTGAAGTTTTCAGAATTAAGTAAAAAACCCAAAACACAAATGGAAATCATAAACCTCCAGATCTCTCCGTTAAACCACTACAATCACTAAATCATATATTCCGTAGATTAATTAACCAAATCATCTCTAATCTCACTAAATCAAGCAAATCATCATCG